TACACACACACACACACACACATATATACATACATATATATATATATACACATACACACACAACAATTGAACAAATACCAATAAAAAGCACCTACAATCAAATCTAACAATTACAGAAATTGAGAAAAATCTATATCTTTATTGAGACCAGGATATAAGAGAGCATCCAATTTATGTATCCAATACGTTTCTCGTTGTTTTAACCATCTAAGTCTATCTCTACGTATGTATGTGTATGTATATATATATATTTTATACCAATGTACATATATATTTTTCCCACTGTTATGTCCTTTGGGATAGTTTGTGATACTGTATTTTTTATTTTTTTGGATGGTTTGACAAATGATACATTTGTAAATACCCAAGAGACATCTAGTAGTTAGAGCCTAAAAATGTATAATCACAGGTGTATTCACTTAGAGAAAGCTCTTAAACTCCTAAGGGGCATCTATTGGTTAGATCTTGAAAATGTATAGTCACAGGTGTATCTATTTAACCATTTCTCACTCTCTATTGTCTAAGACCCTGACAAGAGACCTGCTTGGGCTGATACGCGTTGGTGTTTTTTTAATATGTAGCCCTGTCTTATAATTAAAGGCTTTTTACTTTGCTTGCTATGTGAGTGCCTGGATGTGGATTTTTCTGTTTTTGTTTTTTTTTGCAATGGGATCCACTTTTTGTTTTTGACATTTTGACACAAGTGACTGATGTGCCCCTGGTCAAGAGTTTTTTCTCAAACATTTCTTAATATCAATGTTGAAAACAGTTGTGGTTTAATATTTTACTGGAAACCGTGATGCATGTTTTTCAGAACACTTTGATGAATACAAAGTTCAAAAGAACAGCATTTATTTGAAATAGAAATGTTTAGTAAAAATTATAAAAGTTTTTACGGTCACTTTTGATCAGTTTAATGCATCTTTGCTGAATAAAAGTATTACTTTTGTGTTTATACTGTATGTATGTATGTATGTTTATTTATTTACAGTATATGCACAGCAATCCAGTTTATCCAAACTTACTGTGCAATCTCCATGTCCTTGCAGAAATCTTGTGACACATAACACACATCTTCCTTGACCTGATTGATCACATAAGTCTCATCCATCACATGCAGCTGCCTTTAATACAAAATTGTCACAAGCTATAACAAAGAACTGAAAGAATTTACGTATTTAAATGGTGCAAAGCGTACCTGTATGAAATGATCTCCTTCAAATGGTTGGTGAGCAGCTTTCCTCCTACATTTATCCTAGGAAGTGCAAAGAGATTAATAAAAAGATCTTCAGTGCATATAGAATTATACAGCAGCATTAGGATAATTAGCACTCACCTGCAAATGCCCTCCTTCATCTTTCTTCCTCTGCAATGGGGAACAATGTGCGTGGAGGAGAAGCCGCTGTCCACCACAATGCAACACAGCTCGGAGTTATTCTCATGGAAGTACCGATGAGCACTTAAAGATCCAGCTGAAAAATGAAATTTCATCAGATTTATAAAATCATCTGGTAGTGTTCTAATCTAAATTTAGAACAATAAACTTACCATTAATTCGGAGTGCTGACTGGAACTGATATTCTTCAAATAAAATCTCATTCATGGATTCCTGAATTGAGCTGAAGTTGAAATACGGTTCTGTTATCACAATGTTGGTATCTGTAAAGTCCACCTGCAAACATATTGTGCACAGGCTGAATATCTCATACTGCACATTTATGAAACTGAAAACGTATAATGTTTGTAATTATTCAAGTACCTTAAACATCTCTTTTCCAAACAGATGATCCCAGACTTTGCGCTGCACATCCCAGTTTACAAGGAACCCCTGATATAGATGCAGAAGAGATGACCTAAGACACAATTCGCTTTATATAGCTTGCAGAGAAGTTTATAATTCATATCGAGGCCATACCTTTTGAAAAGGAAGGATGTAGAAGAGTCCAGACGGATCTTTGATTTCATCCAACTGATTAGCAGTGAATGTTTTCAGTCTGGAGGTCTTCGAACGGAATTGGCAATTTGGGATAACACTAATGAAAAAAAAAATCGGTGCTTAGCTCAATATAACGAACGTAAATCACATAATAGAATATGTTTTAAACAATAATGCATGCATAAAAACACACTGTACCTGACTTTCTCATGACTGTACCCGATTTTTGCGAAGTACGCACCATTGTCTAAGACGAGCGTTGACATTTTAACATCACAAGTTGAGTGGTACAAATGTATTAAGGTAAATGATCAAGCAAAGCGCATTTTTAATTTAGAATTTTAAGTAAACATTTGGCAAATGAACATGGCACTCTATGGGCGTCTTCTTCTACGCTTCAGATGCTAAAAGTCTGAAAACAGTACATGAATACCGCCCCCTACCGTATAGGAGGATGTTTGTGTGAGACAGATTTCCCAAAATGCCAAGAGTCCTTCTCCAAAATGTAACCAAAACCCCAAAGCAATGGCAGACGTAAATTGAACATTTATTTGTACCTTTTGGGGAAAATACAACAACTATGATTTCTAAAATACTGCAGATCACCATAATTACATACAATCATGTAAGACAGACAACACAAATAAAAACGCACAGGCTATTAAAGCACAGCAGCATCCATGCTCCCTCTTAAATTAATTTCAACAGTATTAAACAGTATGAAATGCTCCAGTTAATTTTTTTTCTTGGCACAGTTCACAGTAAATTTTGCAGGTCCTCTAAAAAGACAAGTCGATCAGTGGAGCTGCATTCTCAGCATTTCCTTTCTTGTCCTCTGGACTCCACTTTATAAGAGGTGAGCTCAGATCAATTAACTAGAGAAAAAGAAGCCAATAATTACAAATTAATTTAAATAAACATTATAAGTACCTGAAGAATGAAAGCAATATAAGAATGTACATTACCGTTTAAAAGTTTGGGGTCAATAATTAAAAAAAAAAAAAAAAAAAGATTTTACTATCTTTATTACTAAGGACACATTAGATTGATTAAAAGTGACATTTATAATGTTCTAACACATTTTTATTTTTCAAATAAGTGCTGTTAAGCTCCCTATTCATCTACAGATCCTGAAAAAACATGTATCATGGTTTCCAAAAAACATAAATCAGCACAACGGTTCAATACTGATAATAACTAATGTTTCTTGAGCATCAAATAAGCATTTTAGAATGATTTCTGAAGGATTGCGTCACACTGTAGACTGGAGTAATGACTGCTGAAATTAATAACATTTTAAAATAAATTAAAATAGAAACATTTTAAAATGCAATATTTCACAATATTATTGTTTTTACTGCATTTTTGATCAAATAAATGCAGCCTTGGTGAGCACTGGAGACTTTTGAACGGTAGTGCTTATATATATATATATATATATATATATATATATATATATATTCCTCTCACCTGTCCTCCCCAAGGCTTTCCAGAGGAAGTCTTGATCAGGTCTGGGGTATTGGAGAGATCAATTAGCAGCTTTTCTGATGGCTGAAGTGCTGGTGCCGGTGCGTCCACAAGCAAAACCTAAAATTGTAACATTTTCAGATCTGTTGAAGTTTCTTCTAACACATGTAAAATAAAAAACACTCCAAATAGAGTTCATTTCACCTCTTTAACTTCCTTTTTCTCTGAGATCTGCAGGTGTTTTTGGGTGTCCACTGAGCTTGGAAGTGCTGGGGGTTTGATGTCGACTTGAGGAGGCTCTGGATCACATGAAGGCGAATCAGAGGGACTCTCCACAACTGCTGGCTCACAGGCAGGAGGTTCCTCAGGCTCATCCTCCATATTAAAGACCAGGGAGCAGGGCTGGAGGTCAGCTGGAGGGCAGGTCTCCTCATTGGACACTGAAGTTTGCTTTTCTTCCTGACTCTCACTTTCTTTCATGTTTTCAGGGCTGTAAATGCAAAGTTTGACTTTATACATATAAAGAGATTGTGACAAGCTATGGAATATCAGAGATTTCGGTTTAGATTTAGATGCAGTTTAAGGGCCAAAAGTACCGCTTTGAATGAGTGGCCGCTTGGCTGGAGCTCGATGAGCGCTCTGTGACCTGGGAAGGTTTACTCAGACGTGACACACTCTTGGGTGTGAGTGCAGGGATGCCAGAGATCCGGCGGTTGACTGGGGTGGGAAGAGCTGATGGTCTCCGCAGTTTGCTGCCCATAGCTGAGGGTGTCAGGAGGCCCAATGGAGGACCGAATAGATGATCAGGAATACTGCAAAGACATGCGTCAAAAATAAGAGAATCCTCCAAAAGAAATGAGAAGTTATGAGAATATATTACAATATTACCTCTCCACACTGCATGCAGTCAATAAACTCTTTGGCTTCATGATACGAGGGACGTCAGGCGAGGAGGAAACTATAAAATCGATAAAAGTTAATATGACTTAATGCAGAAATGTCCTGATTAAATCTCCAAAAAACATTCAGGTCAACGTTGAGGTCATATTTCACTAGGGCTGGGTATCGAGTTCGATACTTTTTAGGCACCGACCGAATTGCCTCGATACCATCGAGTATCGCATTACATTTTGTTCCTTTGTGCAGTGGCTCAGGAGATGAGTATTTGAGTTTGTATAAACATCAACAAGTTGAGAAATAAATCCAACGGTTTTTTTTAAGATAATGTAATCCTGTTAAAATTGATTTCATAAAATTGGTATCGAAAAAAATATCGTTCAGGAACCGGCATCGAAGTCAAGGTATCGGTATCGAAAAATTTTGAACGATACCCAGCCCTATATTTCACCCCAAAATCTAAATAAAAGAATAAGTGCATTCAGCTTTAAAAAGTTATTCATTTTTGTAGAACCATTTCGATTATTTTTTTTTAATCATGAGATTATTTTCATAAAATTATAAAAATATAAAAATAATATAAAAATATATATTTTTTGCAAATTGTCATTATTTTAAGTCATTCAAATCAGAGTAAATATAAGGTGTTGCAACAAATACTACCATAATACAATATTTAAATTAATGTTACATAAATTATGTTAATATAGAAATAAAATATATAAAAACAGAAATATTATGCCATATGACATGTAATTGTAATTTAAGTATTAAAGTAATATTAAGTATATTAAACATTCATTTTAAATACTGTATTACATAAGTAAAATAATTAGGAATTCATCAGAGGTATTAAGAATGAATTAAAAATGATTAATTGTAAACATTCAGTATTTAGACAACAGTTTTCATTTTTTTCTACATTTAAAAATAAAAATTTCTCTTAGTTTATGTGTGACCAAAAAAACAGTCATCAATTTTTTTAGATTATTTCTTTGGAATAAACAAGCTTTGCATTGATGTATGGTTTGTTAGGATAGGACACTATTTGGTCGAGATACAACTATTTTAAAATCTGGAATCTGAGGGAGCAAAAAAATCTAAATATTGAGAAAATCGTGTTTAAATGTGTTCTTAGCAATGCATATTACTAATCAAAAATTAAGTTTTGATATATTTA